GAGTATATGAAATTAAATTTCTAGGTGTCATAGTTGATGACAAATTCTCCTGGAAATCTCATATCAGATATGTTCAGCATAAAATAGCTAAAAATATATCGATATTGGCAAGGGTTAGATATATTTTGGACGGGAAAGCACTACACGTTTTGTATTCTTCATTGATTTTACCATACTTAGAGTATGGCGTTGAAAACTGGGGAAATACATACAAAAGCTCACTTCAACCATTGTATATATTACAAAAAAGAGCGATAAGAATTGTGCATAAGATGGGGTACAGGGATCACACCAATGGAGCTTTCATACAATCTAAATTGTTAAAATTATTCGATTTAGTGGGATATAAGACTGCTGTGTTTATGTATAAAGCCAGGAACAATTTATTACCTGGTGGAATTCAAAAACTATTTAATGAAAGGGAAGGGGGATATAATTTTAGGGGTCAGTTCAATTTTAAAATCCATGCTATACGTACAACCAAAAAAGATTCTGTATTTCCATAAGTGGGGCAAAACTATGGAATAATTTAAGTGTGGACATAAAAAATAGTAATAGAACTGACGAGTTTAAACATAAATATAAAGGTATGTGTCAATCAAGATATATGCAAGAACAGGCTTAATGATTAATTATATGGAACATTGTGGGTGTGGTGTATGAATGTTAACACTGTAATAATTCTTTAATATATTACTTGTGTGGTGTAGAAGGAAATTATCTATGTAGAGATACTGCTTGCAAAATTATGTGTGTTGACATATCAACTGTCTTTACATGCTTGAAAGAATAAATCAAATCAAATCAATATTATCTCATGGGCATCTCATATCCACAGTTTCACACATACAACAGTCAAATACTGCAACATACTGAAGAAAAGCTATTTTTGTCATCGACCTCTCAGCTCATGCCACTACTGCAAGCATAATTTCACCTTCCCAGCTGTTTGGGCACAGAACAGAGGAGTGGTGGTGTTTATTCTCTAAACTGAAGGCTAAGTAAGAAACAGCTAAAAGAAGACTTGGGGATCTGGTCACTGGATGGATGTACATACCAGATTCAGGGCTGCATCCGGTGATGGACACGTTTGCACAGATGTTCATAAAGTACATGTTCCCCTCTTCCCGATGATCAGTCACAATGTAACCACCTTCCTTTGATAGGGTGTTCAGGTCAAAAAAATGGCCTGGGGGGAGGGGGGTTAAACATTACCATTTTATTAACATGCATATTTTTCCACATTCACTCTAAAAACGTCTGCTTTCTACCATCATCAGAAAGTAAAACAATAAAAGCAATGGATGACTGTTTGAGCGTCTGACCTGTGGCAGGGTTGGCGACCCTGCAGTCGTCGTGCTGAGTGCTGTTCAGAGGGCAAGCAGCAGCTGTTAACCACAGGAAGGTGTACACACAGTCCTCAATGACAGAGATCCGAGTAGGCCGGGAGTCCTGTATGGGGGATATGAACATGTCCATAGGCAGCAGGGGCTTTTAAACCAGTGGCCTTGGCCTGAAATTTTTGCTTCACGACAATCATGTCCAATTAATATAGGTCCAGGCTTAGATGAAACCTGGCTGAGGCAGGTTTAACTTCATGTGTTACAGACTGACATGAGACTCAGATTCAGGCTACAGGAGTATGTAATACATTGCTCCAACCCTAACATGTTCTGTATTTCTTGTAGCGTGTGTCCCTCACCACTTTGTCCTTGTCACACTTGAAGCGGATGATGCTGCTCCTCTTGCGGCTTCCATCAGGACAGGCTTCGCCACTGGTGTACCGCAGTTTCAGGACATTTCCATCCCATGTAGGACCAGACTCCACCTGCCCCAGACTCGTGTAATTATCTCCATCCTTCAGGCAGGATGCTGCACTAGAGGGGCATGCCCATGAACCTATTGCATGGTGAGCAGAGGGTCAACTTTGGATTTTTATTGGAGTCATTTTCTTCAACAATGCATATTTCAGTGTAACTTTAACAGAAGTGAAATACAGTGACACAAGTAAATCAGAAGGATGACCAAAGAATATCAATAAAAAATCCAGACTATCCAGTTTTGTTTTTTTGACTGTGAAGAGTGTGAATGTGCTTCCACTACACAGCTATGGCAGGTAGAGCCTACGTGTGCAGCCTTTTTCAGCTCACAGTGGCCATGTCTGTACATTTCATCTCTGTAATATTTAACACACCTTTAACACATCTCCTGACCAGACAGTGCAGCGTATGTGCATATCTGGTTGATTATTCCTGTTTTAAGTGATGAATAGTAGTGCTGATGAAAATCCATGAACTAGGTGACAAACATTGCATTCCCAATTCAAATTCCAATTCCCACCAAGCTGCTTTACCGATGTAAAGCAGCTTGTCCACAGAAAAGCAATCAGTAAAGAGTAACATAAGCCTGATATTTCAAAGTACAAACAGGGCCAATTATAGCATTCTCATTGCTTGGCGCAGGACGGATCAAGCTGACAAGGGCCCATTAGATGCTACAGCATTACTGTATGCTTTACTGAGTGAGAAACACAAATGAAGAGCTTGCATACTGACCTGGCTGCTGCACCAGCGACCTGCACACGTTGATGTAAAACTGTTTCGTTGTGTCATCAGTAGAGTGCTCCACCTCCCAGTTCCAGGAGTCCATAGCCAGAGGGGAGAGGTCGTATGAGTGCCCGTGACCGTCACTGAGGACAGAACAGACAAACAGGCTGAAAATCAACAAACAGTGGGTAATTCTGTAACTGTGATGGTCGAGGGGGACAATTGCACCCATCCTGGTTTATTTCTTAACAATACACTTGATTCAACTGCCTGAAATCACTAGATAAGATGAAATAACTATTTATTCTAGGAAATTTTTATTTGGCAGAACACTGTAAAATCTTTTGTTTCTTTCTCTAGTAGATGGATCCTTCCCTCTAGGAGGTCAACTCAGGGACACTAGGAAATGTAAAAACGGGGAAATCTGTGGCCTACAGCTACAGCAAAACTTTTAAGAACCGCACAAAGATAAAATATTTATTCACTCAAAATTAGGTAGTTTTGCCACATATAAAAACTAACAGCTCATTACAGATTAAATAAAAACACCTAATTAACTTGCAATTACTGAATGAAAATACTGAAAGGGAGGAAAAAAAAAAAAAAGAGGGAGCAGGAGGAGGGTGACGTGAGGTGGTGGAAGGCTGTTACTTGTAGGAGCAGCTGGTGGTTTTGACTGGGATGCAGGCCAGAGCGGTGGGCCAGTTGAACAGGTAGGTACAGTCTGGAGTCTCCTTGATAAACTGTGGTGCTCCCTAAACAAGTAAAGAAACAAAACACACATAAAAGTCACCATCACCAAACAGCTGTTTCCCTCTTTGTGTCTGTTGCATTTCTCCTTCTGTGGGAATGCTGTGCTTTTTGTTTTTATTTTACTGCAGACGTTGATGTAAAACGGTCTGATCCAACAGCGTTTATTAGATTTTCATGAGTGACTTAAAAAAAATGAATAATGTCCATGCAGTAACTTCTGATAAGGTTGAGAGTAACTTGCACACTCGCTGTCCGTCACTTACAGAAAGATCGATGCAAACAACAAAATGCTCATATTGTGAAATGAGCAAATTTCTTTCAGGGATTAAGTTACTCTCAACCTTATCAGAAGTTACTGCATGGACATTATTCATTTTTTAAGTCACTCATGAAAATCTAATAAACGCTGTTGGATCAGACAATTTGCTGCCTTTGGTGTATAAAACTCACAGGCTGCATGTCAGGGTGGCAGGAGAAGTAAATCTCAGTGGATCTGTTGTATATCCTGTGACAGGTATCTCCATTGGTGTAATTCAGGATGAGCTGGTCTCCCACATAGCTGAGAATCTGGTTTGCCATTCCTGCATGTGTGAAAACACGCACACACACACACACACACACAAAGCAGATGAGTACAAGAACAATGACACAAATACTACATCAAAGATGAGATTATCCAGCAGCAAATTCCATACCTGCATTTTTGTGGTTGTTTTCCTTCACCTGGCAGGAGGAGACCTCTCCGATGCCACTGTTGGTACAAACGTCTCTCTGGAGCCCCCCACAGACCGACAGGTGGTAAATGTACCCCTCACTCCCGACAAGATAATCTTTTCCCTTCAGAGAGCTCAGGTTGAACTCATAACCGCTTCTGGGATCCCGAACCCGGCAGTTATCACCTGGGAGGACAAGTTCAAATAATGTCTGGATTTTGGATCATGTTCTCGTCTCTCCTTCCTCACCATTTAATCAGTATTGGTGGTCAATACTGTCCTTCTATTAAAACGTCATTAGGCACCTCTTAAAATGGATTTATTCCATTCTGTAGTGCAATAAATAATTTTTATCTGCAGAAATGAACCAACAGGGGCAGTTTTAATCTTAAAATTTTGGCATCCATGTTTCTCAACACACTGTCACAAACACACGTGTGATTACCTTGAGACTTCCTGACCGGGCAGGCTTCAGATGTCCTCCAGACGAAGACATATTCACAACCATCTTTGCGGTCAAACATAGGGGAGCCCTAGAAATCCAGAAACAAAACCTGTGGAGACAGTTCATGGCCGACAACACGGTTGATCATGAAGAGAGCTTTAATACTCACTAGGTTGTGATCACAATGGAAGATGATGCGTGTTGAATAGTGGGATGTTGAACCACATGGGTCTCCGTTCTGATATACAATACTGATGGAGCCGTCCTCTGCCACCTGTGGGACGGACTGCACGTATCCCAGGTTGAGACTTTTCCCATCAATCATACCACAAGCACCCAGGGGTCCCGCTAGAGAGAAGACAAGAACATCTGACATCTTAGTTGCCATTTTGATTTGACAGACTATAAGCTGGGTGGCATGGTGGCGAGGTGGTTAGCGTCTTTTCTCATGTATGTAAATGTGGCTGGACTATGTGAGAACCATGGACGAGCATACTGACCAGGACAGTCTTTCCCAGTGGGGGGGAGGGGATTGCAGACGTTGATGTAAAATGTGCGTGATTTGCCCCCATCTGTATCTACAGCGATCCAGGGGCTGTCATCTGTATTCCGGATCAGGTGACTCAGGTCATACTTATTACCGTGGGTATCTAGAGGAAGCAGAAAAGGATATTTACACTAGAAAAAGGAAAGGTGTGCAAGGGCTCATTTACAAATGGATTAATTTACCCTTGCTGACATCACCTCAATAAGAAACATTAACAATCAGAGAAACAAGAACACAAACTTTAATTAAAAAAATGACCTAATGTAAAATAAAAATGTGCTGTTTACAATTTTAGACAAACAATAACCACATGACCTGCAGAGACTACATACTAATGAGTTCACTGTGTGTGTGTGTGTGTGTGTGTGTACCCATACCACTGATCTGGCAGTCAACTGGAGCAGGGATGCACACCAGGGCAGTGGAGAACTCAAAGACGACGTCGTGCACCACATGGCTAGATACAGAGCTCAAGCTCTCATCCCGCAGTTTTAATGATCCAGGGTGAGAGTTTGGATCACATACAAAGTAAATGGTGAAGGTGTCCCGAGTTGCTGAAAACGAAGAAACATTTCAATGAAAAGAATGAATAATGTGCAGTGAAAAGTCAAACTGAAGTCAAAATACCGTTTTGCTAAGAAACTCTTTGGATTTGTTTTGACTTGTCTTCCTCCTTGGTCAACATTTACTTTAGGTTGACCTTGTTTTTCTGCAGTGCCAACACCCTTTTAGTTTCTCCAGGAGAGGCGAAGTTTTGGTTCAGACTTGCGGCACCTTGACTAATTTAATATCTGTGTGGTTGGGTAATAAAACAGCACAAGCTAGAGGACACTACATTTAAGTTTGTTGAAGAATAATGTTGCTAACATCTAAACTAATACCTGCTAGCATTTACTTACATCTCATGTCTTAAAACCAAATATGTCCAAGCACTTGTATTGCAGCACTGAGCATAATTTTAGTTATTGGTGTAAAAGGGAAATACTCAGTATAGATGGTTTGAATGCAGTTATTATAAACACCACTGGACAAAAACCAAAGCTGAATGTATGTAATTCATGTAAAGTATGTTTAAAATGTTGACTTCATTATTATAGTTGAAGGTGAATTAATTTGAACTTTTATATCCTTGTTACCTGTTGGACTATCCAGGCGTCCCTTATATGTTAGCTGGAGCAGGCCATCAGTCGAATACTGGAGGGTCTTCTCCACCCCCACTTGGCTGGAGGGATGTCCGTCCTCCATTTCACAGCCAGCCATGCCTTGTCCACACTCTGCCAAGTCTGAGCAGATATTCACCTGCAGGGTGGGAGGTAGCAGAGATTACTGTATACCTGTTGAGTTTTGAAGGGCGCATTGTCACTACAACGCAGAGACAGGAGGAACATCTAACCCAAACAGAAAAAGACAACACTGCATTTACTTAAAACTACAAATGTCTTCACACAGTCAACTAAAATCCAGACTAGAATAACTTGCAGGGGCTTCACTGGTATACTACTGCAATGTTATATTATTATAGACCTGAAACTATTGGTCACCTTATCAATTTCCAAATCAAAAGAAAGATCTATTAACCATTTAAACCATTTTCAGGCAAAAATGTTACTTTTCTAAAATGTTAAATGATTTATCTCTTATTTTATACATTATTAAACATATAGAAAACAACCTATTTGAACTCGTCCTCTAGGCAGTTTCCTTTTTTCACTGTTTTCAAACATATATAGTCAAAACAATTAATTGATTAACTGAGAATTATCTAAATAATCATATATAATAAAAATAACTGCTGTTAGTCTTAATTTTTACGCATACTGTATATTATGTATTATCATTATTATATGTGTGTTTTATTTATAAAATAGCAAAATTCAAAAGTAATAACTCCATCTTGCACTGGTGCGACAACCTGACAGATGATATCAGAGCTGTATGAAAAGCTGCGTGCACGAGCAGCTCACACACAGTGAATATAAATGCACTGTCAGCTCACACACATTCAAGCTAAGCATGAGAGCTGCATGCTGAGGACATGCCTTACTGCTGGCAGAGTACTGTCCACGTGCGTCTTACCAGGAAGTCCTTGCCATTTGCTTTTGTCTTGTATCCATTCTGTGTAGCCAAATGCTGAAGGTTGAACTCAAAGCCAGTGTTGGGGTCCACCACAGCACAGGTCTGAGGCATCAGACAGGAAAAAAGAATGTAACACCTTTTAAACGATTCCAATCATTTGGAATTTAAGAAGCTGTATGAATATACAGTTGAACTCACTTTGTTCGTTATGGTGTGGATGGCACAGGCTGCCCTGGTCTCCCACATGAAGTTGGCAGTACAGTTCTGGTACATGAGGAATCGTGGGCCTGTAGACTGCACAGTGTGGAACGCAAGTTACACCTCAGACACATGCTAAATGTTTAGCGTAAACAAATTGCACTCCACTGTATTACCGAAACTCTGCTCCCTTACCACAGTTTCTCTGGAGCAGACCAGGTGGATGCGTGTTGTGTATGTGAGCTTCTGTCCATCCGACACGCAGACAGAGCCGTCGGTGAACTCCAGCAGCAGCTGGTCCCGTCCCTCTATGACCGGCCCTCGCTTGGAAATACCCATGTTGCTGACTGCCACAACTTCCTTTAGGGAGCCCTGGAGACAAAGGGGAAGAGACAGATCCTAAAGTTCATATCAGAGATCACTTGTACTCTGCCTTCACTGGTATAAGGAATTCATTTAAATGTTTACACTGACCACATCTACGGTTCTGTCTTTAAAAACAAAGAGCCACTGTTTGCCCTTGCTTTTACCTGCACATGGAAATAACATAATAATGAAGGCAGTATATCATTTTATGACACCGTTGAATATAAACAGCAGAAACATGCAGAGACTACAGCCATAAAAAAAAAAGATCACGGCGTGATGGGATAAGCTGTATGATGATAATGCACATGAGTCATTTGACAAGGCGTCTCTGACCATGGATGCATGGACAGCGCTTACAGCTGAATCCTATGTGACAGTCACCTACCATTATATAAGCAACTGAGAAACAGAGTGCTGCAATGCGGGATCAACAATCTGCTGCAAACACAGCATGTGCAGATGTGATGCTTTCACATCACTGAGAAAAGCTGTGGCTTAGAATCAACTAGAAAATGTTGACAGTCTTAGCACTAATTAGCCTCCTATCCCCAAGTCACAGACCTGCTCGTATATGTACTTCATTTGGCAGACAGACGCATGACGGTCGCAGCCCATCACAGGGTTGATAGGCCGACATATATTGATGTAATACTTCTTCCGGTTCATGGTATCAGACAAATCCATGACCAGCCAGTTGTTACTGGAAGTGGAGCGAGACAAGCTGGAAACAAAACAAGGTAAAAAAAAAAAAATAGGTGAAGAGGACAACAGGACGGTTGCAATAACAATGTCTTTCTGATTTTTTTGTGAATATTTGGCCAAATATGTTATGTGAATGTTGTTTTATGGTCAAAAAGAAGCATCTATAGTGTTTCTTAACAGACTGTGCCAGATGTAGCCATGCCCTACCTGGATAAATCGTACTGTTCAAAAGTGACGGGATCTGTCACCAAACACTCATGAGGCCTTTCAGGACATGCGTAGGATGTATACCAGCGGAAGTTGTATGTGTACTGGTCCTCAATCTGCATTCACAAAATCAACGCATTATTTACAGCTACAGAAATATTGTATAGACAATATACAAATCTTGTAAAAATGGGAACAAATACACTGTATACACAATATAAAGAGACAGTTTAAACAGTGAAAGAGGGAGGAATAAAGAGACAGTTTAAACAGTGAAAGAAAAATGGAAGGGAGGAGTTTACCTGGAATTCGGGTTTTCCAGCTCCAGCTTCTGGGTCACAGAGGAAGGAGATGAGAGTGGACCTCCGGGTGTGTTCTTCGTTGTTGTACTGGGAGCCGTTACTGTAGGTCAGCTGGATCAGGCCATCATAGTAGGACAGACGGGAGTTTGCCTCCCCAAGACTCCAAGCGCTGAAGAGGAAACGCAAAAATATGTGGATGTGCTTAACTGCAGAAATGTACGCGTTTGTGCCTTCTTGCCTCCCCATGGCTCCTCCTCACCTCGTTTTGGCCTGGCATGCTCCGGCCTTTTCAGGACAGTTGGTCACATTAACGGGACCACAGACATTGATGTAGTAGTTATAGTCTTCACTGGTCAGGTTGTAAAAGCCACCATTGACTTTGGAGAGAGGCGACAAGTCAAAAGAGAAACCTATGGAGCAAGAGAGGTTAATTAGAGAGGATTACACAGTTACACAGTAACAGTAGCATTAGTTAACTTGTTGATGAAAACTTAGGTTCACTCAAGATCTCAAAGTAAAAAAAAAACTAGCTGAACAAGACTGTGCAAGAGAAAATCAGGATTAAATCCTCAAAACATGGTGAATCTCTACACAACAGAGATTTGTTTTGTGCATAAAAAATTGTTTTTCCAGACACACATTCCAAATTAACCCCGAAGCAAATTTCTCATCTTTGCTCATCTCCTGTGGTTCTCCCCTTTTTTTTTTGGTCAATTAGAAACCATCAAACTTGTGCGTGCGTCATACCAGCCTGAGGGTCCTCCACTTTACAGTCATCTCCCTTTGTCTTTGAGAGGACGCATGCAGCGGCAGTGTACCACTCCAACTCGTAGATACATCCATCAGATGAAATGCTACGAAGGACCGGTGGGCTTTTGAGATCTCCTGCAAGAAAACAAGAAGAGGGA